GAAAGAAAGAAAGAAAGAGAAAGAGAGAGAGAAAAGCTAGGGCAAGGATGCCTTTATGAGTCAACATGGTACCCACAGCATCCATGATCAGGAATGGGAAGGCTTTGGGTGTAAAGAACAGGTTTGGCCTCTTGCTGTCATGCTCTCTTGTGAATTTTCCAGAAGGGGATCTTTGGCTGGTTGCTGTCCCAGCTGTTAGGAAGGTTATTTCCGAAAATCCTAGACTTCATCCCTCCCTCCTTGCCCACCTGTTCATTGAAAGGCAAAGCTCCATTCACTGCTGAGCTGCCCTCCTGATTTATTTCTCTGTCGCCCAACGGCGCAGAATCCAGCGATCCATCACTTTGGTGGTGCAATCGGACGCCGAAAGGATCCGCTCTTTGAGAATATAAAAATTGAGAGGTTAACCAAGTACTTTAATGGAGAGAGGAAGCAACATTAATTTTGAAAATGGAGACGCTGGGTGAGACCTCCTCCTTGGCTGGCGCAGTCAACCACCAGAAATGTGAAGGATGTGGGTGGGTTAGGATTCATGCGAACCTCCGTCTCTTGGATTGCAACTCCCAGCTCTTCTGTGCCCTTGGCAAGGATGGCTAATTTTTATCATTATAGTCAGGTTTTTAAAATGCTTTTACACTGTGTTAAATCCTAGGTATTTTAACACAATGGCAAACGTAATTGTTTTGTATTATCAAGCTTCTAGTTGTATACTGTTGTAAGGTTGTGGTAAGCCACTTTGGGTCCCATTGTGGGGAGAAAGATGCGACATAAGTAAATTAAATAAATAAAAATAAGGCATCTATCAGTTCCAGTTGAGTAATATCTATAGGGCCATGGTTCCCACTCCTTATGTACAACTGCTTGGCCTCTTCCTGTGCTTCCAAACTGAGCTTTAATAATAATAATAATAATAATAATAATAATAATAATAATAATAATAATAATAATACTTTATTTATACCCCGCCTTTAGCCAAGGCTGTCAAGGCGGCTTACAATTAAAAAAAAATACACCCATACAATCAACAACAAATACCCCCCCTTAAAAATATATTAAATCCTTACTTCCATCCTGAATTTGTGTCCATCTGACACCCCACATTCTGTCCATCTTATTTATGCCTTCATCTGCTTTGTGCCCCAAAATCTATGAATCCCTTTGTGACATGTCAGCTGTTAACTCTCAACTGATGCATCAACTATACAACTAGAAACTTGATAATACAAAACAATTACATTTGCCATTGTGTTAAAATACCTATGATTTAAAACAGTGTAAAAGCATTTTAAAGGCATCCTTACCCTAGCTTTTCTTTCTTTCTTTCTTTCTTTCTTTCTTTCTTTCTTTCTTTCTTTCTTTCTTTACAGCTTTTCAGAAACTACTTGATGTCTTACCTTGATCCATCTGATCTTGTTTCTCAGTGCCTGCGTTGTGTCTGAAGTTACTTTCTGACAAGCTTAAAAATACAATGCCACTCTTCTTTCCTTTTAATTCCCCTCGTCTTCATGGGTTGTTTATACCCATTTGGCATTAATGCTACACATTTGTTCAACAGGTCCATTTGTTTGGGTCTCTAGAAGCTGGTCTCTCCCTTGTGGCCACATTCAGTTAAAGAAAATAATTTCTAAATAATTTACATTAATCTATTTAGTGTTCTCTAAAGTCTGACTGAGTTCAGGGGGACTTATTCCCAAGTAAGCTTCCATAGGATTGCAGCTGGTGATATTTATTTATTCATTTTATATTCTTCTTTTTCCCTGTTACGGACTTTTAAGTGGCTATGGAGCAGTTATGGAGCTAGCACTTTTTTATAACCCTGTTTTTTAGGTGGAGAAGGGAACAGCGGTTGACTAAATAACCTTTCGGAAAGTTTTGGTTTATAGCTGAATAAACCAGACTTCCCCAGATTAGGAGAATATGGCCTGCTAAGATTTAGGGCAGGATGATGTAGGGATGGAAAGAATATTAGAAAATATTCAGTCACAAAGTCTTTTTCTGAGTGTTGGTTGCTTCCATAGACATTTTCAGATTTTTCACCTTTGGTGGTGAGGTGATACAGATGTTGTACGGCTTAAATGCACTAAGCATTTATATTTATTATTACGATCAACCAATCAGACATCATATAAACAATAATCAACTGATATCATAGTAAAACACAAATAAACATCATAATAAATCATCGTATTATAAAAATAAGTTATATTAATTGGAAATTCAATTAGAAAATTATATTAAAAGGAAAGGTAAAATTCAACAATATGAATTCATTATAAGAGTGTAAATTGTATTATAAAATTTTTAAACAAACTAGAAGACATAATAAAATTTTAAGATACCATCTTACGCTGGCAGACCATTGCCGCTGCACAAAAATTGGCTACCCTTGTTATTATTGATGGGCAGTGGTCCGCTAGCAAGTAAGATACATAAAACTCATCCGTTCTTCCAGGAAAACGATTAAGAATTGGATAAATAAAAATTTGACGATAACCATAGTCAAAAGGACAGTATAACAATACATGCCCTATATACAGGGGGACTTTATCTGCTGGGATTTGGTTCCAAGACCCCCCATGAATAACAAAATCCATGGATGGTCAAGTCACATTAAATGCAATGGCATAGTAAAATTCTATCCCTTAAATAAAATCAAGGTTTGTTTTTTTGGAATTTATATATTTTTAAAAATATTTTCAAGCTGTGGATGGTTGAGTCCATGGATCAAGAATCTGTGTATATAGAGGACTGATTGTATAGTTTTGGTTCCCGTTGCTCTCTCTTCTTGAACATTTAAAAAACCATCTTATAAGTCAGATCTTTCCTCAGCCTCAAGGAAGAATGGCGTTTCTTTTATTCCTCTTTTGTTCTGTTTCAGCAAATGAGGCAAGGATTTAACTGGTCTTTGTAAGGCAAGGAGATGGGGGTCTTGTGGAAATTTCCATGGCCGAAAGCCAAGACTTTAAAGACACCTCTGAACTGTTTAAATTTCCTCCGGACAACTGGAGTTAAGCAATAAAGCGGGCTGGTAGGACGTATCCATAGGGGCTTTCCAGTTTTCCAGGCTTCTAGTATGCCAGAGGGAGGACAAATGATGGCTTTTACTTCTTGGAAAAACCAAAGCCACAATTTTGGTGACAGCTGCAGAAAAAAACACCCCTTTCTTGGTGGTCAAGCTATCACCGCCTGCTTGGTTTCATCCTACAGAATCCTGTAGGATCCTCCTCTCTTATTTACTCTTCTTCTTCCTCTTCTTTTTAATCCCGTCCCATCTCCAGTGAATCTGTTGTGCAAGATGAGACCTCGAGCTCCTGATGAATTTGGGTCATATGAATATTGAGGGCTTGACCAGCGTTATTCTAGCTATTTTTATGAGGCTGGAGTGGCATGTAGCTGCGGCAAAAGCCTTAGTTCCTAGGAGATTTCCCTTGCCTTAAACTAAAAGCACCACATGCTTATTGTGTAGGTGCATTGCTTTGTTATTTTATTTATTTATTTATATTGGATTTATATCGTGCCTACCTCCCAAAATGGGATTCAAGGCGACTCACATTTTCAGTGGGATTCACATTTTCTTTGTGAAAATGCTAATACTACTACTAATGATAATTGCTTTTGTTGCCGTTTGCCTTCAAAGTCCAACTTACGGCTACCCTAAGGCAAACCTATCATAGGGTTCTCTTGGCAAGATTTGTTCAGAGAAGGTTTGTCATTGCCATCCTCTGAGGCTGAGAAAGTGTGACTTGCTTAAGGTCACCCAGTGGGTTTCCATGGCTGAGCTGGGAATTGAACCCTGGTCTCCAGAGTCATAGTCCAATGTTCAAACCACTATGCCACACTGGCTACTGTATATGCTTAGTGCATTTAAGCAGTACAAAATCTGGACCGCCACCCAAAGGTGAAAAATTTGAAAATGTATATGGAAGCCACCAATATTATTATCGTTATTAATAATAATATTTATCTCTTATCTGCCTCTCGCATGGATCGAGGTAGGGAACAACAACTCAATAATGAATGACATCTATTAAAACATATTAATTAGAGCATTCAAGAGTTTATGAGGACAAATAAGACATACACATTTTAAAATAATCCACATTTAAAATTCAGCATCTAAATGCTCAATTTAAAAATCATCTGGATAGGCCTGCTGGTCTTCAATTGTCTTTTAAATTTGGACAGCTTATTCAGCTGTCGAATCTCTTCCAGCAGGTCATTCCACAGTCTTTGGGTGGCTGAAGAAAAACTCCTCTGGTTGACAGTTGCCAACTCTAATGAAATCTCTTCCGGCAGGTCATTCCACAATTTAGGGGCAGCTGAAGGCAAATTCCTCTGACTGACAGTTGCCAACTCTAGTGAAATCTCTTCCGGCAGGTTATTCCACAATTTAGGGGCGGCTGAAGAAAAATTCCTCTGGCTGACAGTTGCCAACCTAGTCCTAGCTGACTGGAGCAAATGTCCACCAGAGGACTGGAATGTAATAATTTATTATTATTTATATCCCACCTTTTCCTCAGCGTTTCCTTAGTGTTCCTTGTCCCTCTGACAAACCCTGACACTCTCTATTCCTCTTTTTTCAAGGTGTCCTGGTGGGTGTTGTCCTTCGCTACGGCATCCATATTCCCAGCGATATCAACAACGTGACCTTAAGCTGCCCGGTGCAAACCAGCCCGGCCACTTTGTTGGTCAACTTCAGTGGGAAGTTCTACGAATATACCCTGAAGGGGGAAATCAGCTCCCACGAACCAAATAACGTTCAGGATAATGAGATGCTCAGAAAGGTAAGCTGGTTTGAGTGGCTTCTACCTTGTTCTTTTCTGAAAGGGCCTTTTGGACTGGAAGAACAGAGCTGGAACTATTGTATTTCAGATGGTCTTGTTGGCCAGCTGGTGGCTTTCCCAAAAAGCTCTAGTGCAGATCTAAGGGTGCATCTTCCCTGTAGAAATAATGGAGTTTGACCCCACTTTACCTGCTATGGCTCCATCTTACAGGATCCTGGGATTTATACTTTTGCGAGGCACCAGCACTCTTTGCAAGAGAAGGCTAAAGACCTTGTAAACCTATAAATTCCAGGACTCCATGGCACAGGAGTGGTGTTAAACTGCATTATTCCTACAGTGTATATGCACCCTAGGAAATCTCTACAAATAGCCCCTTCAAATCCCCTTAAAGTGAATAGATGCGGAGCCGAGAACCACAAAGTCCAAGGAATTAGACTGCAAGATTGTAAGAAATCAGACTTCTTTAGACCAATCTGGAAGAGCCCAGTGTTTCTTAATTTTTTTCCCCTAGTCTTGGCTCTATACCTTCATATTTCTGATAATGAAACAGATAATGCACACTGCTGAGCGGCAGTGATGGTTTTATTAGCTATGAAGGTTGCAAAATTTGCTTTTGCTGCTAGAAGATTAAGAACCAGCCCTCCCAAATTAGCAAGGGAAAAATAATTTTCTCTTATTTTTCCCCCCAAGCTTATTGCATTTGTGTTTTATGATTGCAAGGAGGGACAAGTGAGCCTTTGGTAGTAGAAGCGAGAGTTTTTAATTATGCATTCTGCTTTTTGCAATTTTAATTCTTTCAGATAATTGCTGTTGTTGGGTAAATATAAATGACATGCTAGGTGTATACATTTGTTTCTTTATAGGCATTCTGTACTTTGTTTCTCTGTTTTAAATATTGATGGCCAATGGTTATAAACAGTACATTTAAAGTTACTTTATATCATTAGATTCTAGCATGAATGGTATGGACCTCCAGCTATTTTTGAATTGCAGCTCCTAGCGTGACTTGCCACTGTCTGGATTGTCTGGGGCTGCTGGGATTTGCTATCCAACAATGGCTGGAGATCAGAATTCGAGTCTCTGCTCAGGTGGTGACCTTGGGCAAGTTACACACTCTCAGCCCCAGAAAATCCCATGAATGATTCACCATAGCATTGCCATAATTGGGAAATGATTTAAAATTACACAGCAAAAAACAGATCAAGTCTCCCTTATTCTGAAATCCAAAATACTCCAAAACTGTCCACCTGGGTGGTTGAGATAGTGACACCTTTGCTTTCTTATGGTTCAGTGTACACAAACTTTGTTTCATGCACAAAAATATTAGATTATTTGTAAAATTATTTTAAATCATTCAAAATATTATGTATACTATTACTTTCAGGCTGTGTATATAAGGTGTATATGAAACATAAATGAGTTTCATGTTTAGATTTAGGTCCTGTCTCTAAGAGATCTCATTCTGTCTATGCAAATATTACAAAAATCTGGGGGGGAAAATCCAAAACACATCTGTCCCAAGCATTTCGGATAAGGTAGACTCAACCTGAACTTACATTGGTGCCAAACTGCTTAGCCTGAATGCTAGGCCAGCTTTATCTTATCTATCTTACCTTATTTATTTATTTATGGGATCTCTATCCTGCCTTTCTCCCAAAATTGGATTCAAGCATGTCATTAAAAAACCTGAATGGAAATGTCAGTGCATGTTTTCCCTACAGAAACTATTTTCAGGTTACAAAGTACAGCATTTGGTGTCATGAAATTGCTGAATATATTATTAATGTAATTATATTCTTGGTTTCAAAATGCAGTTTATCAAGGAATAAGTTTCATGTTGCAATCATCTAAGTGAAACATTTCTTATACCTGTGTTTTCATGCATTCTTTTTTCTCTTCTTAAATGAAATTATACAGGTGACATTTGACCCAGAAGTATTCTTCAATATCTTACTCCCTCCAATTATATTTTATGCAGGATACAGCTTGAAAAGGGTACGTTCTTCATCATTTTAATCCTCTTTTGAAAATGTCCATTGTTGAAACACATTCTGGCACTGTTTAAAAACAACAACAATTCAACAAACCTATTAATTTATTCTGTTTCGTTCCCATGGGATTCGAAAATGTTTGTGTTTAATCATCAATATGCCAAATCCCATTTGGCTCTGAAATTTTCTGTAGAAAGCGAGGGAAATTTTAAATAAAAGGCAGAAATCTTCCCTTTTTTTAGTTGCAAAATGGCAGCTGTTAGCATAACCTGTCTTGTGACTGGAAACTGGGTGTCTTAATGTCTAGAATAAAAGTTTTTGCTATAATGTGGCATTTCCTGTTCATATATTATCTAATAAAATGAGTTTCTGTCACCATTCTAATAGTGAGAAAATAAAATAACACACTACAGTTGGTCCCCCACATTTGTGGCTTTGACTTTTGCAGATTCGATTATTTGCAGATTTGATTCATATGTTGGAGGTTGACTTCAGAGTCATGTTGGAAGCCCTAGAGATTCCTAGAGAAAAGACTTGTCTAAGCATTTTTATGTTCTCTGGTGTGATTCTATGGTCTATTTCCAGGAGATGTTGACCACAAAGTTGCACTGGAGGACCTGCAGATTCCTAGGGAGGTGTTCTCTCCGCTAGAAAAAATTAGTGTTTTTTAATTTGCATTTCCCCCCACTTTCCCAGGGGTCCTGTGTCCCTAACCACAGCAGATGTGGAGGACCCACTGTAATTTAAAATGAAAATATTTTTGGAATAACAGCTGGGAACAGCAGAAAAACTTATCTTTAACTTGAATTACTGTCATAAGTAGTACTCTGATGCAAGCTGATAGCCACCATTATAGTGTATACAACCTGATATATAAATGCATGTGATAGGGTGGACTTTGCAGTAGAATAAATAGCATGTGAAATAGTCACTGCCTTCTTATATCAGGCAGAATGAGTTGACATAGCGGAAGTTGAGTGAGCAATGCTTTCTTTATTGGTGTATTAGATGGAGACCGTAGGCACTGCTGCTTATTGCTAGAGTGGTACTAAAACAGGGAAAGGTATTCCAGACAGAGTGCAAAGGTCTAATTTTGTGGAGAGGTCTAATTTAGTATCTAGATTGTGCACTAGATTATGCAAAAGTATAGTGGTATCAGGGACACATTGAACTCTATGCTAAAAAGGATAATTTTGATACATGGAGGTTGCCGGATTTTGCAGTTTGCTGCAAAGCTGTTTGACTTCTTGGGTTTAACACACACTTTCCTTAAGGATCCTATTAAAAAAAAGAGAGCAGGATTTGCTTGGACATCTGATATACTTGGATGAGGTCTGCTTCCTTGGGAATTCCCCCAGAAATCAAACCATAGAAAAGAACCGGATCATGTGATGCCTTATAAATGAGCAACAGATTGCTGGTTAGTTGTAATTGTGCCTTCGGTCTGCTAGTTGGTGAATGATCGACATGGATGCATGCATGTACAGACACAGGAGAGCCAGCGTTGTGTAGCGGTTTGAACATTGGACTGAGACTCCGAAGATCAGGATTCGATTCATTGCTGGGCCATGGAAACCCACTGGGTGACCTTGGGGGAGTCACACACTCTCAGCCCCAGAAAACCCCATGATAAATTTGCCTTAGGGTCACCATAAGCTGGAAATGGCTTGAGGGGACACAGCAACAACAATGTACAGACATAAGTAGCACCCTGAAATGTTTTGACAGCTCTGCCAGCATGGCGTAGTGGTTTTGAGCATTGAACTACAACTGGAGACCAGGGTTCGAATCCCAACTCAGCTATTTAAACCCACTGGGTGACCTTGGGCAAGTCATACTCTTTCAGCCTAAGAGGATGTCAATGGCAAGCCCCTTCTTAAGAAACCTAAAGAAAACTCCATGATAGGTTTGCCTTAGGGTCGTCATAAGTCAAAAAGGACTTGAAGGCACACAACAACAACAACAAACTCTGTTTTGTGGTTCCACTTACCTTTTCTTTTATGAGCCATAAAAAAACTTTTGTTTTATCCCATGCAGACATGAAGGAATTGCTTTACTGGATCAAACCAAAGCTGCAGAAATATGATTTCCAACAGCAGTGGCTAGGTGCTTCTTAAGCTATGTTCACTTTGGGTAGGAAGGGTATGAGACGGTTTTCTCTCTGTTGTTTATTCGCAGCATCTGGTGTGCAAAACTATACTTTCTCCAGAGCAGTTTTACCCAACCAGTCACCCTCCTGATGTGTCGGATGACAACCCTATGTAGTCCAGAGATGTTGGACTACATCTCACATCATCACTGACCATGTTGGCCGGGGATGGTGGGAATTGTAATCTAAAACATCAGGACCTCAGGTTGGCAAAAGCTGCTCTGGAAGGTCCATTTAGCATTTGAAAGGGGTGCTTTCCATCCTTTTCTAAAAGCCATCTAAATAGTGGCCATCTGGTATGAATGACTTCTATAAATTAATTCTACATTGGCTGGAGATCTACTTCCTCCTTGTCTATTTTTGTGTTTTGATCTCATGCCAGTCAGCTTCTGCGGGTGGCCTCAGGTTCCAGTTTTCTGGAGACAGAGAGAGAAAAAGTTCCCTTCTACACATCACTTTCACTAAATGCAGCAATAACACAAGGAGTTTCTACTAGGCAGGTGCTAATGTGTAAGAATAAGTACAGCTGCTGTAATAAACCTTTTTGTGCTGGCTAAATGGCCGTAATAAAGAATTGCATTGTAATAAACCTTATTTAAGATTCTTTTTTGTCATTCAAGGCTTGGCATGCTTTCTCACCTATCCTGTTTCTCAGTGCAGCAACAACTTTGTGAAACAGCCCAGCAATAAAAAGGAGAAGAGTTATAAAGGGAGCATTCAACACCATGCTTTTAAAAATTTTTTTGTCAAGCCACCAACCTTTGAAAAAGGCCAGAATGCAAGGCTGCAGGCAGTGCTGCCCACCCACAGAATGCATCTACACTGCAGAATTAATCCAGTTTGACACCACTTTAACTACCATGGCTCAGTGCTGTGGAATTCTGGGAGTCATAGTTTTGTGAGATATTTAGCCTTCTCTCTCACAGAGCACTGGTGCTCCAACAAACTGCAAATCCCAGGATTCTATGGCACTGAGCCATGGCACTTAAAAGTGGAATTAAACTGTATTATTTCTGCAGTGCAGATGCAGCCAGAGTGAAGCTATTACTTCTGCCAGTTCCCCCAAAGGCACATTCTCCTGAACTATAGTTCCCAAGGTAACCTAAGAAGGAGGATTGAAAATTAAACCAGGGCACCTTGGAAATTGTAGTTCAAGGGGATGCACCAGAACTCTCTAAGGGAGAATTCTAAGCACTGCACATCAAACTACAAATCTTGTGTCCAGGACTGGATAATGATTGCACCCTGATACTTGAAGAGCTGCAGACCCACTTAACAATTTTCTCAGCCATGTCATCCTATTACAAGTGTACCTCAGTTAACAAAATTAATATGTTTCTGGGTATTACTTCTTTAACAGAAATTCTGGGATCAGAGGTTGTTGTTGTTCTTGCTGTGTGCCTTCAAGTCGTTTCCGACTTATGGCAACCCTAAGGCAACCTATCATGGGGTTTTCTTGGTAGGATTTGTTCAGAGGAGTCTTGCCATTGCCTTTCTTTGAGGCTGAGAGTATGTGACCTGCCCTAGGTCACCCAGTGGGTTTCATGGCCAAGCTGGGAATTGAACCCTGGACTCCAGAGTTGTAGTCCAACACTCAAACCATTACACCATGCTGAATAGGGATACCTTCCTCCACCCCAAAAAAGAAGAAAAGTTCAACATGTTTCAGCAAACTTTTTATCCCAGGCTAACAACATGCATATGTGAAATGAAACATCCAGGTTACTACATCTGAAACATTCAGTTAAAAATATTCATGATAAGTATTTGACCATCAGCTCTGCAAAACAAAGAAGCATCAAAAACCCATTCTTTGCATTCTAGGTCCACTAAAGACACTTTCTTTTTTATTTGCTTTTCTAGCGGCATTTCTTCCGAAACCTGGGATCCATCTTGGCGTATGCATTTCTTGGGACAGCGATCTCCTGTTTTGTGATAGGGTGAGTGTTTTCATTCCACTTCTAGAAAATTTAGGATTTTTGACTGGATTTTCTTGTTACTCAAAAGCTCCCTGGATGGTTTATGAAACAAAGATTAAAATAGTGAAACATGAAGCTATGTAAAATTTTAAACAAAGTGAAACAGCGATGGAATAAAAAAGCAAAAATGACTGCAGAAGACAACAGCATTGCAGTCACTAACATATTTTTTAAACACTTAAAAGTGTCGTAAGAGTCTTCTGTACCAAGTCTGTAATCTCTTTGTTGGCTCAGGAAGGAAGCTGGTGGGCAGTGGTGTGTGTTTGGGTCCTATATGAGTAACAATTGAGTAACTGTTGAGAATCAACCACATTATTTGATCTATTGCTCATCATTTGCAGACATTGGCTGCTTCCACACTGCAGAATTAATGCAGTTTGACACTGCTTTAACGGCCATGGCTCCATCTTGGACTTTACGTCTGAGACAGCTAAATATCTCACAAAATTACAAACCCCAGAATTTCATACCATTGAACCATGGTAGTTAACGCGGTGCCAAACTGCATTCATTCTGCAGTGTAGATGCAGCTCTAGTCACAAGAGGTCATTTCTGTCCTTTAAAAAAGGGCCATGACAGGCATCCAATAAGAAGTGCATAGCATTGTGACCATGCTCTGAGTTTTCTATTTAATGCACATGTGTCTCTAGCAGAGCAGAATATTGGAGCGTGGTTTGATTTTATTTTGGGTTTTGAAAGTTTTAACGTTTGCCCTGCCTTATAATGGAGCATCTCCCTCGGATCATAGGCTTCAAGGGAAGGTGATCATGTTTGTTTCTTTATGCCAAAGGGAAAGATGGAATGGTTTGCAAGAAGGTGGTCTGTTCACCCTCTCCATCTTGTTAGTGAATCCATGAAAGGGAAGTTATCCATCTCAGAGATTTAGCTATGGGGGTTTTTGTTCCTCAAGAGGAGGATGAGAGTGGTCAAACAGCGATCAGGGAGGAAGTATCTATATTGCAAAGGCACCTAAATTTAAAAGAGAACTAGAAGTGTGTCTAGCATGCTGTGAGTTTCTTTTTGAGTCATTTCTGCTTGAACTTGGAGATAGTGGCTTGCATCATTTTAGGGTGCAAATGTGGCTCATATATGTGTATATCTCTTGGGATGGGGCAAAGGGAAATATTCTCTAGCCCTTTGAGTCATATCCAAAACCTCAGTCCCTGGCATCTGTCAAATACCAAGGGGTTGCTTTTGCTTACCAATGTGGAGGGGAAGGGAAAGGGCAACTCAGAGGAGGACTATGTGGCTGATCTCAGCTCGAAGGGGAAAAGAAAGGGGAATAATTCCACCTTGGAGTGCATCTCATTTCTTTTCTCCTTATAACAGAGACAAAACAAAAAACTGGAAAGCACGTATTCACAGTTGAAGACTGAAATGAGATCAAATCCCGCATGTTATGTGATGGTCTGAAAACTTTATTTCTTAAAATGCCCAATGCGTTTTGACCTTATCTCCACTTGTCCTTCTACAGGGGTTATTATAAAATAGGCAAAAACACATTTACTATAATTGGGGTATGGAGACAACACCTAAACCACATATAAAAACATAGGATTAAAAAAATTATACACCTGAATAGATACATACCAAGAGAGTGCAGACAGCAACTCCAGAAATTTCTGATCATTGGGATGTGTCTGTTCGTATGTATAATAGAAACTGTTTTAATTTTTAAGAAATTATGATTTTATAGATGGTTTAGGTGTTCTCTCAATACTACAGTTGTAGTAAATGTGTTTTCCCCCTCTATTTTATAATAGCCCTTGAAGCAGGGGAAAGACAGGTTGACACTGCTTTAACTGCCATGGCTCAATGCTAAGGAATCCTGGGATTTGTAGTTTGTGGTGGCACCAGAGCGCTCTGATAGAGAAGGCTACATGCCTGACAAAACTACGAATTTCAGAATTCCACAGCATGGAGACATGGCAGTTAAAGCTGTGTCAAAATGTATTAATTCTTCAGTGAAGATGTCACTGAAGTGTCTTTATTTCTGTATCATAACATCTTGGATTTCAATTCCTTGCGGGAAGGGAATCGGTGGTTTTAAGCATCTACTAGTCTTGCTAAAAATTGAGACTTGAATCAGTGGTGTTGTGCTTGATAAGATTATCTGTCCACATTCTGCCAGATCTATCATGTATGGGTGCGTTGCCCTGATGAAAGTGATGGGACAACTTGGAGGGGAGTTCTACTTTACTGACTGCCTATTATTCGGTGCCATTGCTTCAGCTACAGATCCAGGTATGTTTTTTCTGTGCTCTGAAGAAAAGGACACAGATTTTGTGTTGAGCTGTGGAATTAAGAACAGGGGTCCATTTATACTGTGCAGTTACTGTGCTATGACTCCACTTTACTTGCCGTGGTTAAGTCCTGGACCAGAAGCTCTAGTGCCCCACTAAACTACAAATCCAAGAATTCCATAGGATGCAGCCCTGA